TCGGACGAGTGGCTTAGAAATGACAGCAGTCTGAAGTTTGTTGCAGTGTTTTCATCTCAACCTGTATATATGAAGTAACTGACTGACTGACCAAACGAGAATCAACGGCCAGACGCAATTCATACTGAAAGGTTTCTACGATTTACATGTGGAGACGTTGAATTTGGTTTAGACAGAAAAATTGGATGCAATGGTTTTACTGGCATACTCCTCGGTAAAGTTCAAAATGAGAAATTTGACAGGCTTTTTGATGTGAAAGGTAAACATATTCCTATTATCCTTTCCGAAGGAGACACTCAACACCCATTTTCCTTTTAAACACCCATCGAAAAGAAGGAAATGGAAACTGTCTTTGAATTGCATAGATAATTCGATAATCTCAACATTAAAATATTAATAGCTGTGAAAATTTGTAGCTAGAAATTCAATTTTGTTTCTAAATGTTTTACTTATTTTGAATCCAGTTCATAAAGTACCTTTGCTTGCCCACCGTTAAATGTTGGAAATATTTTCAACTTCCAAACAAAAGCTACCGTAAATATAAACACAACCCAAAAGCTCGGACATTATTATGCAAATAGTTTTTTTTTATTGAAAGTGAACGCCTTTTCTTCGGGCTATGCGAAAAATTAAGGCAAGAGGTCAATCACAGTCCGAAAAACACACTTAAAAGAAGAGTGTCAAAAATTACCGACACCTCGAAAAACGAACAACAATTTCACATCCATTATTATTTTTATGCTAAGGAAGTTGAAATTTTGGAGATTGGGTTTACTCATCGAATGAAGCGCTTGTCTACCCGCCGGAAAACTGGTTTAAGTTGCAAAAATAAGCAAAGATTCGATGCGCCCGCCGCTGACTGAAAACATAATAATATTATCTCATTTTTATTTTGTCTTTTTTTTCGTATTTTTTTTTATCTCAAATTAATCTTTTTTTTTTTTGAATATTCCCTGAATTTTTTGCTGTTGATGCTTATTTAAACCGGTTTCTTTGGCTCCGATCAACACAACCGCAAAGAAGATAGATGCTCGCAAATGACAGCCGCCAAATGCAAAAATCCATATCATCTTTAAAATGAGCACAAACTTGTGACTTTTACTCTTAATTTAAATAAATGCAACATTTTTGGGCGGAATTTATGTTGCTGTATAAATTAAAATAAAACAAGTAAGCAAAGGCTACAGTCGAGCGGGGCCGACCGTTGAATACCCTACAACACTATAATAAACGATACAGTTTATATAGGCGAGATACTCGAAAGAATTCCAAAAGATATTGTGACAAATTATAAAAGAAAACCATCAGGTTTCGTTCTCTAATTTTCGAATAATAGCAACTTAAACTAATTTGCTCATTTCCAATTTATTGGTAGATGTTGCACTTAAATGGTCTTCCTAGATCTGGAACCAATATTTCCCAATGACCTATAATCTCTCAGAAGTGGCAAAAGATTAACATTTATCATTGGTTTTTGACTGAAACGCATCTATATGAGAAACAGACATTTGACTATATTCTTCAACGAAATCAGCGTTAACGAAATAGTCAGAAGTGAATTCTCCAAAAAGTCACTGGAATCGACATTTTTTTATTTTGTCTACAAAAGTTGGCAAACTCCTTCACACATTGAATATTTTTCGATGGCCATCCAAAACTGCTTGGCTTTTGCAATGTCCGGTAACCCCCATTCAAATGTGCGTAAGGATCGGGCGATAATTACGACCTGCTGATAATTTTGCAGTTTTTTGGTCCATTTCAACCCCTAAATATATGGCGATCATCTCCAAAAAGAATAGGCTTTTATTCTGACCCTCATCTTATCTCCATGCGTAAGGATCGGGCCATAAATGCGATCTGTATATGATATCCTGATATCCTAGCTACTTAGCTTTGTTAGCTGTAGAAATATTACCAAATGTTTAATTCAAAATGAAAATATGCCAAAAATATGACAAAATTGAAAAAATATGAGAAAATTTTACAAAATCAATATTTTTATCTTTAGAGAGATATTTTTATGCTATTTTTTAGACGTTCTTTCTTTCCTGCCAAGAGGCCATTCTGAATTAATGAGAACTGTCGAAATCAGTTCAACCGTTCTCGACATGTAAGAGATTTTTCAAGCAAATCTTCTTTGTTGGATGTTAACATCAATGTAAAGATCAGAAGTAACCTTGTCATGGCTTTGGATTTCGCCGGGATTTAAATATTCGCGGTTTAATGAAAAATTTGAATTTTTCATCATAAACGATATGGTCTATTTTACCCGCTAAATATTATCCGATGACCACCCAAATTGGTAGACTTCTTCCCCGCCCTAAACTCTAGCTACATGCGAAATTCCGCGTCGATTGGTCTATAAGTGCGACCTGTATAGCTACTGGAAAATCCGAAAATTTTTCAGTATTTGGTCCATTTCAACCCCTAAACATTTGGCGATCATCTCCAAAAGAAATAGGGTTCTGTTCTGACCCTATCCCCACCTTCATTCTAAATTTCGTGAAGATCGGACCATAATAGCGACCTGTAGAGTGATTACAAATTAACATGGACAGACGGACGGACGGACATACATAGCTAGATCGACTCAGCTCGGCGAGCTAGGAAGATTCATATATACTTTCCTATATGGGAAACCAATATTTCGAGGTGTTACATAAATTCTGGCCCAATCAAACTTATAATACCCCCAACACATAGTGTTGTAGGATATAATTAAATGTTAGTACCTTTAAATTTTTAATTGTGGCTGGGCTATCAAGAATCAACGCCCATACGAAACGGCTGAAGCTAGAATCTTGAAAAATTGCACGACCATTAGTCTTAGTGCGTAGGTGTTTGGCAAGGCTGGATTTTGGAAATTCGTATGAAAAGTACTAAAATGTACTCAAAATCGGGAGTACTTTGTATTTTAAAACGAAATGAGCTAGAATTCTGAAATTTGGAATGAAAGTTACTGATAGAGTACAGAATAAATGTGCCAAAGGGTTTTTTTGATATTCAAACTTAAGGGTTAATTGAAGTACTAGAATGGTACTAAACTTCTAAAATATTACCATTTGGTATGAGAACCAATATTGCAAACTAAATTTGATATATTGGAAATGTGTATAAAGTACTGAATAGTATTAGGTTTGGAGCAGTTTGGTTTAAGGGGAACGGAGGAAGCTGGAAATTTTGTATTGGGGTCCCTGTTGGAGGTAGGTTTGTGAAGAGAAATGGTTTTGCTCGAAAAGTATTAAATAGTACTGCATTTGGTACAATTTGGTGTTGGGTTGACAGATAGTGTTTGAAAACTGAAATTTGGTATTAGGGTCGCTGTTTATGTGTAACCTCGACATGAGAATGGTTTTGGTAATGGTCCATTCTACCCGCTGTCTTAAATTCTAACTTCATGCAAGATTTCGTGTCCTTTGGTTCTATTTGTGACCTTTAATATGGCTGCAAAATCAGGAACATTTTGAGCTGGTCCAATTCAACCCCTAAATATATTGCGGACATCTTTGAAAACAATAGGTTTAGCCCTCCTGAGCCTAATCCTTATTTCGTCAAAAATTTCGTGAGGATCGAACGATAATTGCAATCTGTATTTAAAGAATAACCCCAACCTGTGTTGTAAGGTGCAAAAATATTACAAAATATACACTTTAATACTATAAGTCAAATTGAAAAATCGCATGCGATAAAAAATATGAAAAAATAAGAAAATGTCACAAAGTAGTACAAAATCTATATCTTTTCAATCTATAATCTTTTTATGCGATTTTTTTAGATTTTATACTTTTATGCCAAAAGGGCATTCTAAATTTACAAAATTTGTCAAATCCCTCCAGCCATTCTGGAGATATAAGCTTTCTAGCTAACATCCCCTTCCTTTGAATATGAACATTGTATATATTTCGCTATATGTATTCGATGTTTTTACTATCGGCATCAACGTTGCGGTCAGAATTGACCTGTTCGCCATTTGTGATTTCGCCGGCATTAAAAATATTCGCGGTTTAATGGAAAATTTGACTTTTATTTATCAAAACTTCTATGGTCTGTTTGAACCACTAAATATTACCCGATGACCATCAAAATTGGAATGCTTCTGCCCAGCCCTCTAGCCGCATGCTAACTTCCACCTCGATTGGTCTATAATTGAGACCTGTAGAGCAACTGCAAAATCAGGAAATTTTCAGTTTTTAGTCCATTTCAACCCCTAAATATTATTTTAAATTTCATGAAGATCGGGCCATAATTGCGACTTGTAGAGTGATTACAAATTGACATGGACAGACGGACAGACGGACGGACGGACGGACATACATAGCTACATCGACTCAGCTCGGCGAGATAGGAAGATCCATATATAATTTCCTATGTGGGAAATCAATATTTCGTGGTGTTACATAATTTTTGGCCCAATCAAACTTGTAATACCCCCAACACAAAGTGTTTTAGGGTATAAAAATTAAAAATTATGGCGTTGGAATTTGTTGCAGTTTTTTTATCTCACCCTGTAGGTACATAACATATCTTGTGGGCGTTCACGTTCACGAATTCTATTCTCTCCTCCTAGTATTCAAAGCTAGGGTCACTGACGCCTGTTAATTTTCATGTAAGCACCATCAGATTGGGCGCCATTTTTCACCAATATATTTTCCGTTGCAAATTTATTGTTTCTTAGTACACTAATGTTGGGCAGTACGTAAATACGTAAACCTAGGTGAAGCTAAACACTGAAGAAGATACACTGCAGCTGGCGCTGTATATTTAAATTTGGTGAAACAGACGGAAACTTACTTCGCAGCTACCAAAGAAAGCAGTTTTCAGACAATAGCCACCCACAGGGCTATACGAAATGGTAAATTTGCATTGACTTTTTTGCGAAGAGAGATGTTTTTATAATTAAATCGGACGATACCCTGGTATTTTGTCAAATGCACTTCATATTTCGTAAACACAAACTAGGATTTTAATACACAAAACATATTTTTATTTAGGCCTAGGTTTGAAACTTAAAAACTAATCAACAACATTATATGTAAGGATAGGTCTTTGGATTCTTCTAAAAAAACATACTCTTACACATGGGAATATACACAAGCCTTAATCTAAATGAATTTCAATCACAATATGTGAATTTAAACCATATATTATTTTCACTTGTGAGCAAACCCATGATGGCCTGCATGAATGCCGTGAAAGGCTGCAGCTCCAGCTCCCACTCCGCTATAGGCACCAAATCCACTATTTCCATTAGGTAACTTTAAAACTTTAATAACTTTGACATCTTGGCCACCGAAACCACCATAACCTCCAATGGAACCAATATCTCCTTTTATAACTTTAACAATTTTTACATTTGGAGCACCATTGGCAAAGCCGCCGTAACCATTGGGGAAACCGTCGCCATAACCGGTGGAGAAACCGCCGCCATAACCGCTAGACAGCCCGCCAGCAAAATCGCCACCACCAACACTCTGAGAGATGACTTTGATAACTTTAACAGGCGCATCAAAACCAAAGCCGTTGCCATAACCACCATTGAAGCCGCCACCAAAACCACTTCCACAAATGCCGTTACAGACACCATAAGAAGGGTGTAGACTAGCTTCACTGAATGCATTTACTGCAGCGCCGCTATTGGCGAATGCACCACCGTAACCACCGCCGCCGTAAGAACCACCGAATGCACCGGCATAGCCGTTAGAACTACCAACACTGCCACCGATTAGACCAGCATTAGCCACGGCTAATGAAGTAACAAAGCAAATGAAAACCTGAAACAATTAAACGAGACAGAAAAAGAGAAAGAGAGAAAAAAGAAAACGGAAAAAGAAAAAAACATTTGAAATACTCGCATTAGAAAAAATAAAAAAAAAAAACACCATTGCCAAGGTTGGGTCAATGTCAACTCACCTTCATGTTGTTATTAGTTTTGTGTGGAGATTCAAACACAACCAAAAAAAAGAGTTATTTGAAGTTTGTTGAACTACGATTCTGAACTTCGATCTCAGATGACGGACTGTTGATTGATTTCCCAGCAACTTTAATATTTATATATACATCTGAAACCAAATTCCAGATGTACCTATTTTGAAACCCCTTTAAAGTGAACAATATTTCAATGTTTTAAATTCCAATAATGTTTTTTGTTTTAAAATTGCTCTATATTTCAATAACAATCAAAAATTGCCAAAATTTTATGATGGATTACGATTGCAAATCTATCATCGCATATTATTCAATAGTGCGATAAAATGCATCTTATTAATATAAAGTGGAACATTTTATTTGAAGATAAAACGAATCTTCATTCAAAAAATGATGAATTTAAATATATACCTAGTGGAAAATGCAATAAAAGTCTTCAATATTGTGAATTTGAAGGGGTTTTATATTTAGCAACAGCTAGCTATATTCTGGATAAAACACAGTTCTAAAATATAATGTAGGCTAGAAAGACAGAGGTTTCTTTGTATATCCCTACACCATAGGTATATTAAGTTTGTGATTCCGTTTGTAACACCTCAAAATATAAATGTTAGAGCCCAAAAAGTATATATATTCTTGATCAGTATAAAATGCTACGTCGATTTAGTCTGGCCGTCTGTGAAAATAACTCTAACTCTTCCGAACAAAATGACGCAGATTGATAAAATTATACTCAGATGTGTGATAGGTCTGTAAGACTTTTGGTATTGGGCTTTATATGTCAACGTCTTCGTATAGCCTCCATATAACGATATTTCTCTATATTCGGTATTTTGATGATTGTAGCGACATTATTCGCCAGAATGATATAAAAATTCGTATTTGAAGTTCCTAATAGGTACTGCAGCCTATAAGAGAAAATTGCATATGCTGGTCTACGTCTTCGTATAGCCCCCATTTTGAGGATTTTAGCGACATTATTTACTAGAATTCTTTCAAGTTTCGTATTTGAATATCGTAATGATTTTTGTGGGGTTAAACTTGGATCCTTATCGAATTTTAGGAGAATTGAAGAACAACTGGTTGGTTTTTATATTTTCTTTTTTAAGGATAAGGTGCAGATTTTTAAGGATTTTTTTCAAAGACCAAACGTAATTTTTCAGGTGTCTTGAAAAGGATACAAGGATTTTTGAAGGACTTACGTAATTTTTTGATGATTTTTTATGTTTTTTTTTATTACTTCAGGATTTTTAAAAGAAAAATCAAGTATTTTTTCCAGGATTTTCGAAGAAAAAAGGGGGGATTTTTTGGAGGAATAAAGGCCAAAGCGTGGATATTTTACGATTTTTGAAGCATTTTTCAAGGATTTTTCAAAGGAATAAACGTAGATTTTTTGATTTTTTTCTCAGATTTTTGAAGTTCCAACAAAGACTTTTTGAAGAACCATATTTGGATTTGAGTTTCATTAAATGATTTTTCAAAGGACTAAATATGCATTTTTGATGAATTTTTGAAGAGGTTTAGTTTTTAATTATGAATTTTGAAGTTAAAATAAAGTGGATTTTTTAAGGATTGTAAAGGACAACGCATGGGCATTATTTTGTTATGAGATTTTTGTTGAAGGACCAGACGTTGATATTAAAAGACTTTTTGAAGGGCTCAACGAGATTTCTAAGGATTTGAGTGGTTAAACGTGGACTGTTTTGAAGGATCAAACTTGGATTTTCAGGTTCTCAGAGGATTAAAATGAACTGTGATATCCGGCACATCACAAATCCCAACTTTCAAGCAAAAGGAATGAAATGAGCATTTTGTTTTTTATTTTTTGATAAATAATAAAATGGCCACTTTTTAATCTATATTTATTTATTTTTGCCGTTTTAGGATTGAGGTCAAACTTTTGATTTCTTCACTTTTTTAATATGAATTCAAAAACTAAAGTGTTACAAGATGTACAATTTAAAAAATAAAGTCATATTGAAAAAAGTCATTTGAAGTTACAAAAAAATGAAAAATATATATATAACAATTTATAACAAAATTATTCTTATTTTTATACCATACACCACACGGTAGTCAGGGTATTATGTCTTTGTAACATAAAGAGGGAAGACACATAGATCCTTTTGATGATCTGCATAAAATCACATTTTAAATCGATTTATGCATGTCTGTCCGTCCGCCTGTCCATTTATTTTTGTAAACGAAGAACAGGTCGTATTTATTGCCCGATCAAAGTGAAACTTTGCACGTAAGTGCGTAAATGTGCCTAAATGTTGTGGTAATCAGTGCAGATATAGTTATAGCTCCCATATATATTCTTCATCCGATTTTTCTCCTCCACAGCCGTAATATGCACTCAGCAACAACAACGTTCAGAGAAATATATTAAATACAGCTTAGAAATACCTTTACCAAATTTTATCGAATTCGGTTCAAATTTGGATATAGCTTCTTCAATCGATTTAAAAATTATTGTGCATCAAATGTTTAATAGAAGCCCGAATTGAATAGATTTTGACACATACTAACCAATTTAACATGGAAGAGAGTGTGTCGTATTTGGTGAAAATCGGACAAGATACAGCTATAGGTCCCAAATATATGTTTCATTCCATTTTGTATATCACTACCTCTCACCAATAAAACACTTTCCACAACAACGATAGTTGGTACCAACTATCAGATACAGCAAAGAAATACCTCTTCTAAATTATATAGGATATAGCTCTCATATATACAGGGTGAGATAACAAAAAAGTGCAACAAATTCAAACCCCATAATTTTTACATTTTTTTTAATTTTATTGAATGAAAGCAAAAAATAGCATCAATTTTTAAAACAAGTTTAGATTTGTTCGAATTGATCACCTTTGGCACGAATTATGGTCTTCAAACGGCCAATGAAACCGTCACACGCTGCTCGAATGTTGCTCTGCGGTATTCTGGCGCAGTCCCGGCGAAGCGTTTGCTTGAGGTGATCGACACTTTGGTATTTTTTTGTGGCAACCTTGCTTTCCAAAATACTCCAGACACAATAGTCCAACTGATTGGTATCCGGAGATTTTGGTGACCATTGTGTGCTGGAAATGAAGCGAGGAACCTCATTTTGTAACCTTGGAATGTCCAAGGCCAAAATGTTTACGTGCCCAAGGCTTTAATACACTATTCAGAATATTTTTGCGATAATATTTGGCATTTATTCTGATGCCACGGTCGATTAATACGAGCGGAGAGCAACCATCGGCTGTTATGGCGGCCCAAACCATTACCATGGCCGGCGCTTGAGTTCTGGTGGCCAACCGAAGGTGCACATTTTCAGCTGACCTCTATGGCATGTAAACACGATCATTTTGTTTGTTTACAAACTGCTGGCAACGAATGTTTTCTCATCAAAGAAATCTAAATTCGGCAGTTCACCACTTTCGGCCAAGCGAAGGAAGTCTTTAGCTATTTTGAGTCTATTCCCTTTCTGTTACGGTGTAAATTCTTGCACTTTTTGGCTTTAGCCCGAGCTCAATTTTTAATATTTGCCGAATGGAATATTGCGATATGTTCAGCTTACGAGCCTTTTTTCGGCCACTACGGCGCGGGTTTCGATCAAGTCGCTTCTTTACTTTTCGAACCATTTCTGCTGATGTTGCTGTTTTCTTCCTTCTTGACGGCGGGCTACGCTACCAATATCACGGTAACGAGCGATGGTACGAGACACAAAAGATTTCTTCTTCTTCTGAGCTGGCTCGAGACAGAACTTTTGTTCCATAAGCCGTGTTTAGAAAAGATTTCCAGGCGCGTTGGTCTTGTGCGCAATTTTTCCAATTTGAAAGACCATGTTCCGATATATTGCCTTCGAAGACACAAAAGAATTATTCACATTTAAATGCTGGAGTGTGGCTATCGTTAGAGAACTTCAGCATTTAAATGGGGTTTCCAGCTAAATATAAAGAAATCCCATTATCACGCTTGAATTCCATATCAAATAACTTTTTTCTGGAAAATTTCTGAGCTGTCACTGGAATAATTTTAACGGCTGTCGGACGGGTGGCTTAGAAATGACAACAGTCTGAAGTTGGTTGCAGATATTTTTCATCTCACCCTCACCATGGGAGCTATATCATATCTGAACCGATTTCATCAAATTTGATTGACTTGCTGCAAGACTGAATTCGGTGGGATGTACCGAAATACAGACCATTTAAACTAATATTGGCCATTTTGTGCACAATTAACCCGAACTCGGTTGAATATATCTAAATCTGATCTGATTTTCACAAATTTCAATAAGATTCGTCCTTGGCCAAAAAAATATTGTTTGAAAAATTTCATCTCAATCGGATAATAAATGAGACCTGCATTTTGTTCACCAGGATACATAGATGGAAAGACGGACGGACTGACATGCATAAATCGACTCAGAAAATGATACTATAAAATTATCCAAAGTAACACAAATACGTAATATCCTTACCACTTGTGTAGGGTATAAAATCTTTGTGGTGTAGGGTATAAAAAATTATAATCAAAAGACTTAAGACACGAACTTCAATATTGTGTGATATGAATGCCTACATTCCTAATTTGTGTAAACAATATATAATTTACGAAATTCTAATCGAACTTTTGATCATATCCCTTTACAAATATGGTCTAGCCGTCTTAATGAACACCAAATAAACAAACATTCGTATCCATTTGTGGTTCTATCGTTTCGTAAGAATTCCATATTTGACTAATTAGTAAAATAACCGACACCGTGCAACAAATCGTGTCGAGATTAAGCAGATATCTTAATGTTGTTGATATACTCTTAAAATTTATGTTCGATCATGGTAAAGACTTTCGTTTTCTTTTCGTTTTTGGGTTACCTTCACTTAGAGTTAACCCAGCGATGATTCGTCGAACAATTGCGAAGTGAGTGTGTTTGGCTGTGTGTGTGTGTGTATGTCATACCATGTTAAATTGCCCTGTTGCCCGATTTTCGCTGTGTGCGTCTGGCTATGTATGCGAATGATGTTGTTGCTGATGGTTTCTTACATTGTATGTATGGTGTGGTATGTGGTTGGTTATCTCTCCCCGTAATACCATTATTACAGACGTCATCATCTATTTCAGCGCGGATTTTATTACCCGAATTTTTGGCAGTATAAAAGTTGCGGCCACTCTGCAATGGGCAGTTAGTTATCGGAATACACTTCCAGGCTAAACTGTTTGGTTAACTTCGTCTACAAAATTTGCGGTGGTACGTTTTTAAGCTCAACGAACAACAAAATGAAGGTGAGTGAGCGACATGAAGAGATGATTGACTCAAAGAAAGAAAGAGGTGGTATTAATCCTGGCTTCCTGCTCATGATAGGTTTTCGTGTGTGTTTTGGCCATGGTGGCAGCTGCCCAAGCTGGTATTTTGGGTATTGGAGGAGGCAGTTCCGGTGGTCATGGTGGCAGCTACAGTAGCGGTGGTGGCTATAGCTATGGAGTTGGAAGTGGTGGTCATGGTGGTGGCTATAGCGGTGGTAGCAGCTACTCATCTGCCGGCAGCAGTGCCGCCAGCGTTGTGAAAGTAATCCATGAGGGTGGTAGCGATCATGGTGGTTTTGATGCCGGTTTCAGTGGAGGCCATGGCGGTGGCTTCGATGGTGGTTACAGTGGTGGCTATAGTGGCGGTTTCGATGGTGGCTTGGTTGGAGGTTATGCTGGTGGTCATGGAGCTGGTGCCGGTGGTGCTGCCGATGTTAAAATTGTCAAAGTAATTTCTCAGGGATCGGCTGGTGGTCATGGCGGTAGCTTTGCGGGCGGCGTTGGTGGCTACTCTGGTGGTTATTCTTCCGGTGGTCATTCTTCTGGCGGTTACTCTTCCGGTGGTCATTCTTCTGGTGGTGATGTCAAAATCATTAAAGTTATCCATGAAGATGGTGGCATTGCTGGTGGTCATGGCGCTGGTTTCTCTGCCGGTCATGGTGGTAGCTTCTCAGGTGGCTATTCAGGTGGTTTCTCCAGTGGTGGCCACTCCAGCGGTGGTGATGTTAAGATCGTCAAAGTTATTAGCCACGGCAGTGCTGGCGGTTACAGCTCTGGTGGTGCCAGCAGCTATGCTGGTGGCTATAGCTCTGGTGGTTACAGTTCCGGTGGTTACAGCTCCGGTGGTTGGTCCTCTGCCCCCAGCCACGGTTGGTAAATGTTTGCCCCAGAAATGTCCAAGTATTAGTCACACATTTCCCGAGCTCTTCTCTTTTGTAATATATTTCTTCCCAAATCAATGATCACCTCATTCATCTGTCATTGCCTCTTCGACGACACATAAGACATTTGTCTTGTCATTTTTTGACCAGTCATTTTGTTGTTTTAGTTTTAAGCCATAATTAGTAGACGTTGTTAATGTTGTTACATGATTTTTTTATTGTTGACCAAAAAAATAAAAATTAAAAAAAAAACTTATTGATTTGATGTGTTGTAAACTATAAAGCGCTTAATCAATTCATCAAACGAAGATTAATGATTAGCTGTGAATGATTGTGACATGTCTGAAGTGGTGTGGATTACTGTGGACTTTTTTCGAATTGGTTTCCATAATTTGAAATGAAACATAAATCTGCAAAAGTAGTGTTATGATATTCGCAATAGTTTTCGGTAAAAAAACAGTTTATCATTACCTCATATGTATATGAAGAAAGCCATAATTGGAAATGAAGTGCGGTTTTATTAATTGAGTGGGTTGTTACATCAGAGTGTGTCACATGATGGAACTCAATGTCTAGGTGATTGAAATTTCTTTTGGGAATGATCATCTTTGATGAGTATATTTATTTATACACAAGTAGAAATTTTTGTCATAGGTCAAGTTGTCACCACATCAGTAATAAGAAAACAGTTTTTATCTCTGCTTGGAGTTATTGTTACAAAACAAACAAGTAAGCAAAGGCTACAGTCGTGCGGGGCTGACCATGTGATACCCTACAACACTACAATATGTTAGAAGCCCCCTTATGTCCGAATCCATTTTGGAATATTTCGCTTTTGAAATTATGTGATGGAGCACTGCCCAGATATTACCCTTAGCGCTTTGACCAGGGACATTTGCCCAATATTTATGCACTACATCGTCCTTGTTAGTTGTTGTGGTCAATTTTTTGTTTTTGGTTCATTAGCATAAAATTAGTATAAAGAAGTTCACCTTTTGTGTGTTTCGGATATCGCCTGTAAATAATGTTGGTATTTTTACACACAAAATAGTGGTCTATTCTACCTGCTGTCCTAAACTCTAATTTCATGTGAGATTTCCTTTGGGTTCAATTTGTTAACTTTAGAACGGCTGCAATATCAGGAAAATTTTTAGTTGTTGGTTCGTTTCAACCCCTAAATATATTACGGACATCTTTGAAAACAATAGGCCTAGCCATTCTGAGAAAAATGTCACTGAGTACTACAAAATATATATAAACATCATTATAGGAATCTTTTTATGCGATTTTTTTCAGATTTTATACTTTCATGTTAAGAGGGCCTTCTGAATCGACAAAATTTGTCAAATCGGTCTAGCCATTCTTGAGATATAAGCATTTTAGCTAACATCCCCTTCCTTTCTATATATACATTGTTATATTTCGCTATATACATCCGATATATTTACTACTGGCATCTACGTAACGGTCAGAGTTAACCTGTTCTTCTATTTGTGATTTCGCCGGGATTAAAAATATTCGTTTAACAGAAAATTTGACTTTTATTTAACACAAATGTAATGGTCTATTTCACCCACTAAATATTACCCGACGACCATCAAAATTGGAAGGCTTCTGCTCAGCACTAAGCTCTAGCCCTATGCTAACTTCCGCTTCGATTGGTCTATAATTGCGACCTGTAGAGCAGCTGCAAAATCATGAAATTTTTCAGTTTTTGGTCCATTTCAACCCCCAAATATTATGCGAGCATCCCTAAAAGAAATAGGGTTCTATTCTGACCTTAACCCCACCTCCATTTCCAATTTCGTGAGGATCGGACCATAATTGCGACCTGTAGAGTGATTACAAATTAACATGGACAGACGGACGGACATACATAGCTAGATCGGCTCAGCTCGACGAGATAGGAAGATCTATATATACTTTCCTATGTGGGAAACCAATATTTCGTGGTGTTACATAATTTTTTTTTTTGAAAATTTCCAAATTCGTTCCAAATGGTGGAGGCCGAACTTATTGCTTTTTAACTTGTTTAATTTTATTGAATGAAAGCCAAAAATTTTCGAAAATAGCATCAAATTTTAGAATAAGTTTAGATTTATTCGAATTGGTCAACTTTGGCACAAATTATGGCATTCAAACGGCCAATGAAACCGTCACACGCAGCTCGAGTTGATCGACACTTTGGTATTTTTTAGTGCCAACCTTGCTTTCTGATATACTCCAGACACAATAGTCCAACGGATTGGTATCCGGAAATGAAGCGAGCAACCTCATTTTGTAGCCATTCTTGGGTGGGGCGTGCTGAGTCCTGTTGGAATGTCCAAGGCCGGCGCTTGAGTTCTGGTGGCCAACCGAAGGTACACATTTTCCGTGACATCATTGTCAAGTAAACTCGATCATTTTGTTTGTTTACAAACTGCTGGACAACAAACGGTGAAAACAAAATCCGGCAGTTCACCACTTTCGGCAAAGCGAAGCAACTCTTTAGCTATTTTCAGTCTATTTTCTTTCCCTAGCGGTGTAAGTTTTTGCACTTTTTGGAATTTCAATGAATTTACCTCGGGTTCTTTGTTCAATATTTGCCTAATAGAATATTGCGTTATGTTCAGCTCACGAGCCATTTTTTGGGCCTCTGCGTCGCGGATTTCGATTAAGTCGCTTCATACTTTTCGAACCATTTCTGCTGATGTTGCTGTTTTCTTCCGTCCACTTCCTTGACGTTGGTCTACGCTACCAGTATCACGGTAACGAGCGATGGTACGAGACACAAAATATTTATTCAAATTTAAATGCTGAAATGGTCTAACGATAGCCACTTGTGTTTTTCCAGCCAAATATAAAGAAATCACACTATCACGCATGAATTCCATCACGAATAACTTTTTTTCTGGAAAATTCTCAACAAATTGCTTTTGTACGCTTATAAACAATATATTGAGCTGTCACTGGAATAATTTTAACAGCTGTCGGACGAGTGGCTTAGAAATGACTGCAGTCTGAAATTGGTTGCAGTTTTTTCATCTCACCCTGTAAATGCATAAGGACATAATATCCTGTTCCACAGAGTGGGGTAGAGTATAAAACAATTTCATTCTCTCACGGTGAAGAGCATAAAAAGATCGACCTTGGTGCAGTTAAAATCTTTTTAGTATTTTTTGAATAAAACAGGCTGTTATTATGCCGAACCCATAAATGTTCCACTTTATAAATCAACACATTGCGTCCAAAATTTCAGCGCAAAAATATAATGTGATTATGTGATTTGCATATATATATTTCAAATATTTATTTAAATAGGCATTGGAAGTGTTTTACAAAAAACCTATTAATATAATGGCAAAATTTTATAGAGATTTTTGAATCAACTTTGAATCGAGTCATTATTGTCGTTGGTGCTCCGTATGTTGACAACTATCACAGTCAATCAGGGCGTTGTAACAATTCACCATTTGTTTTTTTTTTTTTTTTTTTTTTTTTTATTTTGGCAATCATTTCCCTAATCTTAGCATTATGGCCAACTTGAATGATTTATCTGCCACCATTTTTTGCCAATATAAATGTTATGAATATGTGTACAATGATTTGCTGGGTAGAGGAGTATCTATCAACGTTTTGTAGTTCAATTTAAGCTTGAGGTTCCGAAACACTGCAACAAAATGAAGGTGAATATTGTAAAGTTAAGTTTTTTTTTTCGTTTTGGAGGAAGGCTAATTGTAATTTCCGTTTGTTATCCCAACAGGTGTTTGCGGTAATATTATTTATAATCGGTTTCGTCCATGCCCGGACATTTGAGAGTGATGGTGGTGGAGGAAGCTACATATACAGCAATGGTGGTTTCAATACAGGAAGCTTTAGTTATACGCCTAATTCGGTTCACCATCCAAACTACTTCACTCATAGCATAAATAACGGATTCATTGATAGTCATTCTGGGAATTTTGAAGATATTCCCAACAATCACCATAGATCGGGAGATGTAAAAATATACCGAATTATTTCCCATGGCTCATCACCCAGATATATTAGTGATGGAAGCAAAGGAACATCTGCTGGCCATTCAAACGAGAACGTTCGAGTTTACAGATTCATACATAAGTATGTGGAATTCGCCCCAGGTATTATGAAATCTGAACCCTACTCTGTAGATTTTCCCAGTGCATATGAGAGTAGTGGTGCTACAACTATAGCAGATTTTCCTAGCTACACAGATTCCAATCGATATGATAATTACCCAAGTCAACTTCAAAATAATTTGTATTTAGGAGGATATGGTGAAATTGAAAATAATTATAATACAAGGTCTGGGTAAATACATAGCTCTAAAATAAATAAATTTTCACATAAAATAAGATTTTTTTTTTTTTAAATAGGAAACACTAACTGTACAATATTTATCTTTAGTTCATTGCAAGCTTATTTAAGTGTTTCGTGTCTTCAAACTAAGCTTGAAATCAGAAAAATTGATAAATACTATATTAAGGAGTCATTTTTAAACATTCACAACATATATATTGGCAAACCAGTAAGGAAAGGTCAAAAGTCGGGCGGTACTGACTATATGATACCCTACACGACTATGTGTATTTAGTAGAGCTTCCGTAATAAAAATGCGTTATTTGAATGCGTATCAAATATTTATTGGAGCAATAGATATACTGGGCCGAATTTCATCAAGTGGTAAAATTCGGTTGAATATGAAAAAACCTATTCAATTTGGGCTGATTTTACATATACGGCGAGCAATAACCTTAAAATCGGATGAAGATGTGTATCGAAACTACATAAACATTTGAACCGATCTCGATAAAATTTAGCAGAGGTATTTTCGAGCAGTACCTGATGTCTGTACCAAAAATCATTGTAGAGTGCATAATACGCATGTGAGAGACCTTAATACCGAATCGGATGAAACATATATATCGGAGCTATAGATACAGGGCGAGATAAAGAACCTGCAATAAAGTCAAACGCCATAATTTCTATTTTTTATACCCTACAACACTATGTATTGGGGGTATTATAAGTTTGATTGGGCCAAAAATTATGTAACACCACGAAATATTGGTTTCCCACATAGGAAAGTATATATGGATCTTCCTAGCTCGCCGAGCTGAGTCGATCTGGCTATGTATGTCCGTCCGTCCGTCTGTCCATGTTAATTTGTAATCACTCTACAGGTCGCAATTATGGCCCGATCTTCACGAAATTTAGTATGGAGGTGGG